TTTATCGCACGGGGGAAATCCTGTGTGGAAACGGGGGTTTAAAGTAGAAAAAACTCGCAAATGCGGATGTTTCTTCAGACGACGTCGCTGTTAGACTGGGGTTAAAATGGGGTTAATCCAAACGGAAAGCCCTCATTGACTGCTTCTTTTTACTTTCGTGTTTTTCCGAAAGTAAAAAGAAGCAGTTTCCATTTGGATTAACCCCATTTTAACATTGCTCTCACTTTTCACACTGGGAAATCCCGTTAAAAAATTGCTTCCGCTTTTGCAGGTTTTTTCTACTTTAAAGCAGGGTTTCTGCACGGGACTCCCCATGTGATAAACTCCTATGTTGGCTGGGATGTGGTTTTGAAAGCTGTAGGCCCCACACCACCAGGAACTTTTGCAAGCACTGTATTTTTTTCTAGCCTCCCCCCACCCCCAACTTGGAGGTCCGCTGGGTGAAATTTTAAAATAAAAGGAAAGAAGAACAAGGGAAACAAGTGGAATGTTGCAACAAAATGTTGCAGTCTGGCGTATAATAATAATAATAATAATAATAATAATAATAATAATAATAATAATTATTATTATTATTATTATTTATATCCCGCCCCTTTGCAGAGCAATCGGGGTGGCTTACAACGTTACAATTTCCATACAGATATATTAAACAGAACATAAAATCCCAGCCCGATGGTGCTGGGCCTAGTGTCTCTCCCCCAGATGGCATCAGATGGTAATGGAGGGAGGGCTCTTCCTCTTATTATAGGCCCGATGGTGCTCGGCCTAGTGTCTCTCCCCCAGATGACATCGGATGGAATGGAGGGAGGGCTCTTCCTCTTATTTTAGGCCCAATGGTGCTCAGCCTGGTGTCTCTCCCCCAGATGACATCGGATGGAATGGAGGGAGGGCTCTTCCTCTTATTTTAGGCCCGATGGTGCTCAGCCTGGTGTCTCTCCCCCAGATGACATCGGATGGAATGGAGGGAGGGCTCTTCCTCTTATTTTAGGCCCGATGGTGCTCAGCCTGGTGTCTCTCCCCCAGATGACATCGGATGGAACAATCGGATGTTCAGGATTCCAGTGACTCCTTTTCATCTATTTTCCATCTCTGGTTTTCTATCTTGCTCCAAGAGTCAAGCAGCATTCTGTAGCTGAGACCATTTCAAGATGTTTTGTGTTTCTTGACTTCAGGTGTTTTCCCCCTTAAGATTTTAAATAGTTTTCCAAATCTCAGGCTCTCCCCACTTTCTTGTAAAACCTGCTGATACCTCCCTCTGTCCAAAGGAGGGTGACCAAAATGGTGAAAGGCCTGGAAACCATGCCCTATGAGAGACTTAAGGAGCTGGGTATGTTTAGCCTGGAGAAGAGAAGGTTAAGAGGTGACATGGCAGCCATGTTTAAATATTTGAAGGCATGTCAGACTGAAGATGGAACAAATTTGTTTTCAGCTGCTTCAGAGAATTGGACATAGAGCAATGGATGCAAACTACAGGAAAAGAGATTCTACCACAACATTAGGAAGAACCTCCTAATAGTAAGAACTGTTCAACAGTGGAACACACTCCCTTAGAGAGTGGTGGAGTCTCCTTCTTTTCAAACAGAGGTTGGTCTGGGGGTGCTTTAAATGTATCTTCCTGCATGGCAGGGGTTGGACTGGATGGCCCTTGGGTCTCTTCCAACGTGATGTTTCACCAATGATACACACAAGCTGAACATTATAAATGAAGCAAGTGAAGAGCATGAGAGGGAATATCAATTGTTCCTGTGTGCCTTCAAGTCCTTTCTGGCTTATGGCAACCCTAAAGGAAATCTATCATAGGCTGACTTGGCAAGATTTGTTCAGAGGAGGTTTGCTATTTCTTTCCGCTGATGTTGAGAGAATGTGACTTACCCAAGGTCTCCCATTGGGTTTCAGGGCCAAACTGGGAATCAAACTCTGGTCTCCAGAGTCCTAGGACGTTATCACACGGGGCAAATCTGCTGGTTAATCCATACAAATCCCAAACAAAAACTGGATCTGTGCCTCATGTTTTCACACGACGTCGCACAGAAACTGGACAGAAAGTGGACAGAAACTGGTGTTATCCGAGATCTTTTGAAATTTGGTTGTTTGGAGGAAATACAAATGTGAAATTAAGGTAATTTTGCATTTACTGTAATGTGAAAAGCAAATGCGCATTTGGGAGCATTTCCCTGCTTTTCGCATTCCACAGCGAGCGTTCCTCTATCTGCGCATGTGCAAGAAGCTCATTTCTAGTACATTTACGGGCTTTTCTCACTTGTGTGTGAATGTTAAATGCGCTTACTGTAATTTCACAATTAAGGTAATTACGTGTGAAAGCCATTTGCAGAATCAAGGTTTATTTTCGGTTTATTTTCAGAATGCCTCATTTCCACTTTATTTTCACTTTCTGGCCCACGTGTGATAACGTCCCTAGTCCAACACTCAAACCATATGCTATGCTGGCTCTCTAGGAATACCAACCAATGCTTCTCTTTAAATTTCAAATCTTCTTTTGATTTTAGTAGGGGCAGGAGAAAATGTAAACTTTTGCCACCTTGCTACTCTGAAGGAAAGAGGGGCTCTTCGTATAAGACTGATTAAGGACATAGCAACAACACAGAAATGGAGACCCACCTTAACTCCATTAGCAGTACAAAGGTGATTGAAACTGAGAACAGGTTGTGAATTGTTAACACTTTTGTCACCTTTCTGCTTGTAGTGGGCTGTGTGAGCCAGTATGATGTAATGACTAAGGTGTTGGTCTGGGACTTGTGAGATCCAGATTGTTATTCTGATTGAATCACATGAATCAGTTGGTAAGACCTTGAGCAAGTCACACTCTCTTAGGTGACCTACCTAATGGGGTTATGGTGAGGATAAAGAGAAGAGAAAGAAGCTGTGTATGCTGCCTTGAGCCCATCATCCTCTCAATAATGGGATCAAGATGGCCAACAGCATATTTAAAGCAATACAGATGAAAACTATGCAAAACACAATATTTATTTTATTTTATTCATGCTCCATCTTTCTCATGATATAGGGACCGAAGGCAGTGAATAGCAAATTTAAAACAATACAAATTAAACATAGTACAAAAACATTTGAAAAGTATAAATATTTTTTAAAAAACAAGTTTATATTGTTCATTTATTGTTCATTTATAAACTTAAAAACAGTAAACATTAAAATAATTCATTTTTTTTTAAAAAAAACAATATACAAACCTTAAAATCTGAATTGCACAGCATTTAAAGTAATAAATGCAACTAATAAAATATGCTTCTTATTATGCATTAAAGGACATCTAATCCCTAAAGGGTAAAGTTAGTGCCTTGGCTCAATTCCAGTCAATTGCTGTTTGGTTTCTGCCCTCCCAGAACTATCTCCGGCAGTGGTCATTGCATGTCACTCCCTTATGTAACAGTATCAAACTGTTGTTGGGATCTGATGTTTGCTTAATTTGTTCTTTCCTTCCTGTTCCCTTTTTCTTTTGTATCATGTCTTTCAGATTGCAACCTTTTATTTTAAACTGTAAACCACCTCAAGAGCTTTGGCAGTCAGTCCTTGCAGAAATGCAGGAAATAAGCAAACACACCAATAGATCCCTCTGAAATCAATGGAAGAAGTTTGCCAGGTAAAACTCCCTTGTGCTGTTGCTTTCAATTGGACAGGCAACCAGACCAACCAGATCTTCCACGTGTTTAAATATAGCTCTCTTTGTTGACTGGGGCCGACTCCCATGTAAAACGTTCATAAATACCACATAACCACCATACCACCCTGAATATACCTCCATCTTGCCAGGTTTCAGACATGAAGCAGCATCTGTGAGTAGGGCTAAGAAAGAACTCTGTCTGAAGTCCTGGAGTAATGTAGCCTAGCAGAGTGGACAGTACTGGGTTAGAGGGATTAATGGTTTAAGGCATTTTTCAAATGTTCCACGGCCTCCCTTTATATCACAGCTGGGAAAAGATGGTGAGTCTAGGGACCATTCTTTTGTTTCTGGGACCATCCAGGGACCAGACACAATGACAAAAAGCACTCAGACCTCAAGAACTTAAAACAAGTGGACAGAACTCACATCTGTGTGGGTTTTTTTTTAAAGGGCATTATTTGATGTATAAATAGTACCAGGAGGGTCTGTAACCTGCTTAAAAGGTGAATTGCCTCTCCCTGAAGTTTCCAGGAGAAGAAATCCACCTCATTTAAGGGCTATAAAAATGTGTCATTGAGAGGACTTTATCACACGGGGGAAATCTATAGTTTATCCCATACAAATCCCGAAAAAAACCCACGTAATTACGTGCAACGATTTCACACGACATCGCACAAAAACTGCTATTAAAGTGGTCAGAAAGTGGTGTTAATCCAGATCTTTTTACTTTCGGGATTTTAGTGAAAATGCATTTTCAATATTACTGTAATTGCATATTTACTCTAGTGTGAAAGTCAAATTCGGTTTATTCACACAATAACCCTCCTTTAATTCTTTTTTCCAGTTTTCCCATGGTTCTGTGGGGCTGCTTTTATTTCCTGTTTTGCTTGGGCAACAAACATGCCAGGCAGATATGACCCTCTCTGCTTTCTCCTTCTGAGCATGTGCAAGTATACCTTTTCTAGTACATTTACAGATTTCTTTCACTTCTGTATGAAATGTAAAAATGCTTTTTTATTGTTTTTTGTGTTATTTCGCATTTATTCTAATTACGTGTGAAATTCATTTGCGTGATCAAGCTCTATTTTTGCTTTATTTTCGGGATGGTTTATTTGCGCTTTATAATCTTTTTAAAGATGAAACTGGCCCCCGTGTGATAAAGTCCAGAGAGTCTGGAGGAACCAACACTTTCCCCATTGTTGGGTGTCTTCAGTGCTTTTCAAATTTACAGTAATTCTAATGTGACCCTATTACAGGGTTTTTTTTTGTCAGGATTTTTTCAAGACAGAGTTTGCCTTTGCCCTGCTCTGAAACTGACAGAGTGTGACTTGCCTAAGGTCACCCAGTGGATTTCCATGGCCAACTCGGGGATTCAAACCCTGATCTCGAGTCCTAGTCCAGAGCTCAAACCACTACACCATGTTGGCTAGCTTTCCCTACCTCTGTACAGTATTCTCTTTGCAAACATATTTCTTTACAAGGCTATAATATTGTTGTTCAAGTTGTTTCTGATGTATGGAGACCCTCAGATGAACCTATCATGGGGTTGTCTTGGCAAGTTTCTTCAAAGGGCGTTTGCCCTTGCCATCCCCTGATGGTGAGACAGTATGACTTGCTCAAGGTCACTCAGTGTGTTTACATGGCTGAGCCAGGATTCGAACCCTGTTCTCCAGACTCATAGTCCAAAGCTCAAAAAAGCAAAGCAAAGCAGCTTATTTATATACCGCTTCATATCACGCTATGGGATTTCTAAGCGGTTTACAACTGTGAGCTGATTTCCCCCCAACAATCTGGGTACTCATTTTAGCAACCTCAGAAGGATGCAGGCCTGAGTCTAGGCTGAGCCCTGGCTAGTACTGAACTTGCAACCTTGTGGTTTATGAGTGAGCGGCTGCAGTACAGGCATTTAACCACTGTGCCACCAGGGCTGCTACACAATGCTGGCACCAAGGCACTTAATAAACTCTAACAGGGAATCCAGTACTGTATTTGTTCCCTAAGGAAACTGAGGAGGAAATTTTCCTTAGAAGTGATTATGAAAAGTTACAATATCAAGAGGAACCAAGACTGTGGGGGCAGGTCACAAGGGCTACTAACTCACAAGTCTGTCACTACCCTTATGACACTGATGGGTGTTTCATGTTTAAAAGTGCATGACTTTATTTTTTAAATGGAAAAAATACAGAGGAGAGAGGAGTGACATTAATCTACAAACTGGAAAGGTAGAAGACCATTAATTACAAAAAAGATAAACTAGCATGCAAAGACTTTGAAAAGTCATTGTTGGAGACTATAAGCTGGTTGGGATGTTTGTGTGTGATTATGGGAATTGTATACAAAACTAGTAATGTTTCCAAGTTCTGCCATTACACTATTTTATCCTTGGACTTCCCATGATTTAGAAATATCTCACAGTCTGATCCTGTGCTCATTTACTCAGATGTAAGCCACAGAGTTCAGCAAGACTTATATCCAAATAAGCATGGGCTTGGAATGACTACTGAAGAAAATTAAAAAAAAAAAAAGTGCAAAGGCAGATTTACAGTTGAGCACTAAGAAAACAAAACTCATGACCACAGATGAATTACATAACTTTAAAGCAGGCAGTGAAGATACTGAGATAATCAAAGATTTTCTATACCTTGGTTCAATAATTAATTAAAATGGAGATTTTAGTCAAGAAATGAGAAGAACACTAGACTTAGTAGGGCAGTTATGAAGGAACTTGACAAGTTCCTCAAGAGTAAAGATACACCATTGAATTCCAAAGTGTGGTGTCCTTTATGTTTCCAGTTTCTATATATAGCTTTCTATATATAGCTGTGAAAGCTGGACAGCAAAGAAAGCTGAATGAATAAAATAAACTCATTTGAGATATGGTGCCGGAGGAAAGTTTTGCACATACCTGGAATGCCAAACAGACAAATAAAAGGTTCTTATAGCAAACCAAAATATGATCTAAATAATATCTCAACAGAATTTACTGATAAC